AGAGAGAAAGAGAGAGAGACACAGTAAGATTGTATATAGCCCAGACCCTGGCAACAATGGCAAAGCTCATTTTTCCTTCTGATATTAAGTCTATCTTCCTCACATAATATGGCTCAAACATGAAAGAGAATCCTAAAAAATGTATTTTAGGCCAGGCACGGTGGCTCATGCCTGTAGTCGCAGCACTTTGGGAGGCCATGGCAGGAGGATCATTTGAGCCCAGGAATTCGAAACCAGCCTAGGCAACCCAGGGAGACCCAGTGTCTCTAAAAAAAAAAAAATAATAAAATAAAATAAATTAATAAAGAGATTTTAATTATTTTAGAGAGAGCAATGATTGCTCAGATCCAAAGACCAATAGCCATTTTGACCAAGATGAGAAAAGTACCCTGACATAGTCTCAAAACATTGGCCACTGTGTCCACTGTCCACGTCCTTAGGCACATTGTGATTCTAGTTTGCACGGCTTTGAACACAAAGAAATGCAAGGTGCTCACAAGCCAAGGACATCAATACTTAACTCTAATAAGCACGATGCTACTTCTATCTTACAACTGATCCTGTTCACACACACACACACACACACACACACACACACACAAGGAACAGGGTCCAATTTAACTGTGCCCACCTATCAGCCTTCCACCTTAGCATCACAGCTCACAGCTCTGCTCACCCGCCTTCCCTCACTGCATCTTCAGTTACACCCAAGGTGGGGGCTTAGCAGCTGAACACACACCACGTACCTCTAACTCGTGAAGCTAACTTTCCCTAAGGGTCAGCTGAACTTGGCCTTATTTCCCTATTATTCCACCAAAGGTTCATCAGTTACTGGTATTACTGCTTCTCATCACAACTTTACCGGTTTGCCCTTTATCCACTCACCAATCGGTAGAACACAACAGCTACAACACCGCTGGCAACCACAGACAGGGAATGCTCACAAGTGCCCCAAGGACCTCCCAGGCTGGAAGCAGGGGGGCATTCCCAAATCCCCAAGAAAACACACCAGGTAGTAACTAGTCCGTGGGTACTCAACTGGAAGAGAACTACCAGCTAAGTGAGCATTGAGCAATACTACCCCTCACTCCCTTCATTGGGCACACATGTCATTTTAAATTCCTAACATCGCTACTGATTCCTAGTGTAGACGAAAACCTCATTTCATCATGAATCAAATTATTGTGAAAGAGATATTAAAATACATGAAAAGTAGTGCAATGGGAATCGCCTTTCCTAAAAAGCAGGTGACAGGGTAAGAAATTCAATTTTATCTCATGCTGGTGGTTTATTTGAAACAAGGCTCTTATCAAAACCATACCAAGGATGACAGGGCAGCTGAGTGGACTGTTCAAAATAATTCACCATGCTGGGCGTGGTGGCTCATGCCTGTAATCCACGCACTTTGGGAGGCCAAGGCAGGAGGACTGTGTGAGGCCAAGAGTTTGAGACCAGCCTGGGCAACACAGGGAGACCCTGTCACTACAAAAATAAATTTAAAAATTGGCCAGGTATGGTGACAGACACCTATAGTCTTAGCTACTCAGGAAGCCAAGGCAGGAGGATTGCTGGAGCCCAGGAGGTCGAGGTTGCAGTGAGCTGCGATTGTGCCACTGCATTCCAGCCTAGGCAACAGAGCAAGACCCTGTTTCTAAAAATAAAAAACTCACTAATGTGACATGCAAGTGACGTACTGATAAAAGCTGAAAGCAACCACATGAAGGCAAGGGTATGACAAAAACAAACGGAAGGCCTAAGACATGTAGCACCCGTACCTTTATTGAAAAAAAAAAAATCGGCTGGGTGTGGTGGCTCATGCCTATAATCCCAGCACTTTGGGAGGTTGAGCCGGGTGGATCGCCTGAGGTCAGGAGTTCAAGACCAGCCTGACCAATATGATGAAACACCGTCTCTACTAAAAATACAAAAATGAGCCAGGCGTAGTGGCTTGCGCCTGTAATCCCAGCTGCTTGGGAGGCTGAGACAGGAGAACTGCTTGAACCCGGGAGGCAGAGGTTGCAGTGAGCAGAGATCACACCATTGCATTCCAGCCTGAGCAACAAGAGTGAAACTCTGTCTCAAAAAAGAAAAGAAAAGAAAAACAACTACATTTGTAAAGACCTGCCATTTTTTCTTTTCTTTTTGAGACAGAGTCTCCCTCTGTCGCCCAGGCTAGAGTGCAATGGCGTGATCTTCACTCACTGCAACCTCCGCCACCCAGGTTCAAGCGATTCTCCTGCCTCAGTCTCCCGAGCAGCTGGGATTACAGGCACATACCACCACACCCAGCTAATTTTTGTATTTTCAGTAGAGACGGGGTTTCGCTACGTTGGTCAGGCTGGTCTCGAAGCCCTGATCTCAGGTGATCCACCCGCCTCAGCCTCCCGAAGTACTAGGATTACAGGCGTGAGCCACCGTGCCTGGCCTCTGCTATTTTCTATCTTAGAAGGCAGAGTTTTGCTGCAATTAAACAATTCTGCTGTTTAAAAAATTTGAGAACTTTAGGAATTCTTTGAAATCACACTTCTAATTACTAACATGATGAAAAGCAAGCAATTTTTAAAGTGACCCAGGAAGAATAGCCAACCGAGTTTTTTCAAATTCCAAAGCTTTTTGTGCACTGGACACAAAATGAACGTTAACTTTTCCTGCTTCCCCATGAAGCCACTTTGCTTTTTATAATTCTAGATCTCTCGGAGCACTCATCAAAACTCTACTTGGGAGTAAACCTGGGGTGCTGGCATGCAACACAACCTACCCTTCAAATAACTCTCGTTTCCACCAAAATAAGAAAAAGGTGGCACGGAGCTGGGTAAAGAGATGACACATTTTGAATGTCTAAGCCTGCAAGAGTTCGTGACAGCTGACTGCCCACAGCACAGCACAGCTGGGAATCTCCAGCAGCTGCCCTCTAACCAAATGGCAGAGCAGAGCAGTTTTCTGAGGGGTCAAGCGAAGAGGGCCAGTCACCTCCAGCGCTTTCCTCCCACCTCGTCCTCATCTCCAACAGTTTCTCTCTAGAAATAACTGAACTTAGGAGATCACCCCCAGGGAGAAGACAGAGGCATGACACCTACAAGTTGCCTATTTATAGAAAGTGTTAACACTCCTCAGGAAAAGATACCAGAAATCTCCTTGGAAACGCCCAAGCCTGTACTCCCTTTGGAATTCTAGTCTGCTAATACCAATGACTGAGTAACCACCTTTAAAACAAAACCAAGGTCTTTGAGGTACTTACGGTTTCCCCCCTGGGATTCCTGCCAGGTTTGGAGGAATGGTAGGTACTCTCATGTGAGGGGGAGGATCAAACCCCACCTGGAAACAAAAATAAGGCATTGCAGACTCAGGTTATTGTAGCAGGCACTTTGTGAACATCAATACCTTTCATTAGAAACTCACAGATCCCCAAAGCAACTTCAATGGGAACAGTGACATGGCCTAGTGTTTTTCTTTTTAATTACTATGCAAGAGGTAATATAAGCACCTCTGAACGCCACAAGACCCACTTCCTTTTTGGGGGGTAGAGAGGAGATGTGATCTATTTGCGCACTGAGAACCACTTCCCCATGGTAAATACCTCCCTTAGACTTGCAAGCAAGTTCACAGAGCAATATGTTGTATTAGGATTTCTCAACCTCAGCACTATTGACATTTTGTGCCAAACAGTTCTTTTCTTTGTTGGGGGCCATCCTGGGCATTGCAGGATGTTGAACAGCATTCCTGGCCCCTACTGTTGATGTGCCAAGAGGAATCCACACCTGCCCCCTCCCACCCCCAGTTATGATAATCGAAAGTGTCTCCAGATATTATCAAATGTCCTCAAGGAACAAAATCATCCCCAGTTGCGTACCACGGGTCTAATTTAATGCTTAAGCATTCATACATGGATTCCCTACTTTGTGCAGCATAAGGACAGCATCGAGTCTCTCAGCTGACCACCTTACTTTCAACACTTTTGCCCGCCACTGCACAGCCTCTCCTACAAGTGCAGTATCAGGAAAAACCAATGAATCTTAACGTCAGCGCAAACTAGTGGAGGTAATGCTATGTGAAGAGGGGACAAGAGAGAAAGGTGCAGGGCATTTTTCAAACAGCCAAGAGAAATGATGGTGGGATTTTATACCCTTAATGCAATCAATGATTGCAGAGCCAATTCTACCCTTCAAATGCAGTTCTGTGTCTTCTTGGTCAAAAATTAGACCATTTGCACAGTGGCAAGAGGCAGGGCAAACAGGCCAGCCTGCCCTTGTGGTTCAGTCTGTCCAGAATTCTACCTGTTTACAGAGACCACTGCTTATACATCAATCAGGCGATTGGGTTTAAAGTGTAGCACAGGCATAGAAAGAGAGAGCAATGGCTTCTCAGACATTTTTTTCTAAGGTTTAATGAGGAAAAAAGAGTTCAAGAAAATGAATGAAAAGGCTTCTGTGAACCACTTGAATCATTTCATCGCCTTCAAATAAAAAAAATCGACTTTGGTGGGAGAAAACCAGATGTCCCCTGAACCACTGAAGGAGCTTCTAAACACTGCCTTTTTCATCCACAAAAACAGTAAAACAAAAAAACGTTTGGCTCTCACTTAATGAAGCAGCGTGCTGATGAAAGCTGACAAGAGGAAGGCGAGTGTGCGGCTGGGACACTGGGCGTCTTTGTCTCCGAGGTGTGTGGGGCTGGCTGCTCCTGCCCATGCAGCGCAGAGAGGCCTGGCCCCAAACCTGACAGCGCTAAATGGAGCATGCAGCATTCCTACCCCAACCAGAGCCCACCCGACAGCGGCCTACCATGGGGGAGCGCCCGTAGGCCACCACGGCGGCTGCGGCAGCTGCGGCGCTCATCTGGGGTGACATGTTGTGTAAACTGGCATAGGCAGCGCCTGGGCTGGTCAGCTCGCCGTTCATGCCAGCGTGGGGGACCATCCCAAAAGGAGCAGGGTATGGACCGGGAACTGCCAGGGGTGTCCTCAAGCCAGCTGCTGAAAAGAAACACAAGCCACACATCACTCAACGGACCCACTCCATCAAACCTGACCAGCAAGTCTGGCCTCGTCATTTGTTAGTGTCACTCACGGGGAGAGAGAAAGAGGGAAGGCTTCTGGGGGAGGGGGGGAAATCACCTCCAATTTTTATACACTGGATCCCTCCTTCCCCAGAGTGGAATTCATCTCCAGGAAAGAGAAGACTCCAGGGGAAGCACAACCCACACATTTTCGTATTCGTGTAAGTAGCAGCACCGGAAGCCAGGGGAATTAAGCGTATTACCATACCCAATTTACAGAGGGCAAACCAAGGCACAGACACCAAGTGTTTACCTGACTTAATCTCAAAAGAAGATTTTCTCGATAAAATCCAAGATTTCTCTTTCAGTCCGAACTTTCCATTCCCTGGTACCAATTCCAAATGAAAACCCAATCCTGGATTTACGTAAACCAAAGCACGGGTTTAGGAGGAAGATTCTGTTGCCTGTTTTCCTTTGGGCCCAGGCTGTTGCTTTTTTCCTTTCCCACCGGGGGATGTCAGGTTGCAAATTATGAGTTTTTTAAGGGCTGGAGTCACAGGGAAACCCTCCTAATTTCTACTGAAGGAGAGACCACTGATTCCTGAAGCCTCCCCTGGCAGAAAACCAACCAACTACAGTCTGCAAGGAGCGTGGTTGGGCCGGCCAAACCACTGTTTCAGCCAATATTAGCAAAGTCAGACGCACAATGCTAGTTAGGTAGGGAGGCTTGTGTTCAAAATAATTATCAGAAACTTTACTGAAGTCCCTAGGATTTGAATTATTTAAAAATAAAATTAGGCTGGGCAAGGTGGCTCACGCCTGTAATCCCAGCACTTTGGGAGGCCGAGGCGGGCAGATCACCTGAGGTCAGGAGTTCGAGTCCAGCCTGGCCAACACGGTGAAACCCCGTCTCTACTAAAAATACAAAAATTAGCCGGGTGTGGCGGCAGGCTAATTTTTAAGCCCAGCTCTTTGGGAGGCTGAAGCAAGAGAATCGCTTGAATCCAGGAGGCAGAGGTTGCAGTGAGCTGAGATCACGCCATTACACTCCAGCCTGGGGGAACAAGAGCGAGACTTCGTCTCAAAGGAAAAAAAAAAAAGAAAAGCTGAATGTAAACAGTTGGAGACTGAACAGAGTGCAGCTGCTGAAACCCAAGGACAAACATCTGTTTCTTATCATGGCTTTTTCAGAGATAGGAAGGAGGGTGGCCCTAAGTACATTTCATATTTGTAGGGCAATTGCATCACAACATTAACAGACAGCAAATCAAGCTGGGAATGGGAGAAACCAAACAAAGCACAACAAGAGGCGATGCTCTACCCGCTTGGTTAACGAGGGGGTCTATGGCTGGAGGCTTGCCGAGGCCTGGACGGAGGCCTGGAGTGGCGCTGGTGCCCGGCGTTGGCATGTCGCTCCGAGGCGTTGGTGTGCTGGATTTCAGAACAGGCGTGCTGGCTTTTTCATGCTGGTGTCATTAAACAAATTAAATGAGTATTATTTTTAATCCAAGCCATATTACACAATTTATCACAACAGCAGCTGGGACACTGGGCACCTTCTAGCTACTCCCTCAGCCAATTTTCATAAATCCACACAATGTTGACAGCATTAACTTGTGAGCGAGAAATGTTGACCTTTCCTCTTCCTGCCAGAATTAAAACTCGAGCTAGAGACACAGAACATGATCACACTTCTTCCTCCGCAGATTTTATTTTAAAAGTATTTTCCATCAGGCTGTGGACTTTGGGTCGACGCCAAGTTAGAAAGATGACCACCCAGAGAATCCTTCCCAGGCACTCAGAAACACATGCCCCGGCCGCCAAGAAAGTCCAAGGAAGACCCCTTTTCGAGTCTCCTTTTTAGGTAGCCCTGGGGTTGAGACAAATGGTGAGAGAGAGTGGGGCCAATATCTCAGAGACAAAAGCCCCAGGGCTAGCCTTACCAATATGCCTAAAAAGAACAACACTTTGGAGTTAAGTGCCACTGCCCACTTGCCTACATAACCGAAGTGGACCCACCAGTGCAGAGCAGAGACTGAACACCAGCAAGGGGCCTTTCAGAGTCCAGATGGTAACGGGGTTACAGGACACCTTCTCTGGCTTTTCAACCTTTCATGTGCTTTACAACACAGTCCAAGAACCAATACAGTGTGGCAAAGAGCACAGGCTGAAGAGAGCTCTTTCTGACCTTGGATCATGAGCCACAGCTGTGTGGCCTTAAGTTATTCATTCTCCGCAACCGGTAAAACGGGATAATGCCTACAGGGACCAGGTAAGGATCAACTGCAGGGTTGTTATGAAATGTTATTGTTAAAAGATGACGCAGTCTACCAAGTTTGATTGAATGAATGACCACCAGTGGGTTCTGATGCACCAGTTCCTGGCTTCCCCTGGGGCCTCCTTTGTGCATCACTGATCTGACGAGCTCCATAACATCGGGGCATGCTCTACGACATGCCCCGGTATTAGGGATCAGTCTACCAGGTAAATGGTCAGCCTAAGAAAATGAAGACTTAAGAATCTCGGAAGTTTGAGGCCAGGTGTGGTGGCTCACACCTGTAATTCCAGGACTTTGGGAGGCCGAGGCGGGCAGATTGCCTGAGGTCAGGAGTTCAAGACAAGCATGGCCAACATGAAACCCTGTAACAAGCCGAGATTGCACCACTGCACTCCAGCCTGGGTGACAGAGTGAGACTCCATCTCAAAAAAAAAAAAAAAAAAAAAAGGAAGAAGAAGGAGGCAGTGAACATGGATGCGTGTACACCCTCTCTAATGCGTGGTGGTACCAGGCGTGGTGATAGGCACCTGTAATCCCAGCTACTGGGGAAGCTGAGGCAGGAGAATCGGTTGAACCTGGGAGGTGGAGGTTGCAGTGTGCCAAGATCACACCACTGCACTCCAGCCTGGACAACAGAGTGAGATTCTGTCTCAGAAAGAAAAAAAAAAAAAAAAATCTCAGAGGTTTGAACCATTTGTCAACTGGGAAGTTTCAGAGAGCTGTGTGGCAAGGATATATCCCCCAAGTAAGAAGGCAATGAGGCTGGGAGTGGTGGCTCACACGTGTAATCCCAGCACTTTGGGAGGCCCAGGTGGGTGGATCACCAGGTCAGGAGTTTGAAACCAGCCTGACCAAACGGCGAAACCCCATCTCTACTAAAAATACAAAAAAAAATAGCTGGGCATGGTGGCGTGCGCCTGTAATCCCAGCTACTCAGGAGGCTGAGGCAGGAGAATCGCTTGAACCCAGGAGGCAGGAGTTGCAGTGAGTCGAGATTGCACCACCGCACTCCAGCCTGGGTAACAGAGTGAGACTCTGTCTCAAAAAAGAAGATGGTGGCAATGAACACGGATGTGTGTACACCCTCCCTAATCGTGGCCGAAAAGAGATGACTGAGAGGGGAAAAAGTAAACCCTGAATGATGACAAAGAACAGAAGGATGAGTTTCACTAGTAAACTCTTCAAAATACAACCCTCAAGCAGCAAAACCCCTACATTTCCAATACTTCAGGGTCCGCCAGTCCACAATGAAACATACACGGCCAAACAGGCAAGTGTCAGTTTTCTTTACCTACCAAGCTCATTTCTTTGGATTTCAAAGAAGTGGAACTTGCCGAGGAGGCCGTGGAAGCTGGGCTGCTAGAAGCATCCTTCTTTAGCAGGCGGTTTTTGTCGATTCCATTTTCCCGGGGCGAGTGGGCAGGGCTTGCTCGCGGAGAGGAAGGGTCCTCAACGAGCATAATCAAAAGTTTTCGTGATTTAGCTTGTAACAGACCGACCTTTCCCTTTCCACACTCATTCTCTAAATTTAAGGACAGTGCTGAAAGTCCTTCGGGTTGGGGGTGTACAAGGTGACCAACACCATGTTATAACGAGCAACATGGTCTCCGCAAACATACCCGCAAACACGCCATAAAAAACAACCCCCCAGTCATATCCCTCCTTGTGCCTCAGGCTTAAGAACTTTGCCTAGAGGGCATTGGAAGGAAAGGGGAGCCAGACATCCAACTTAGGCATTCAAAATGTCTACGGAAATATCTTTCTTTAAAGGAAATAAAACTTTATGTCAGTTAGACCATTATTGCTCCATACATGAGCAACCATTAACTTCTTAATGCAAAAAGTTGCAAGAGGTCCCCCGCACTGAGGGGCTCTACTTCCTTCATTCACTGTTAGATTATTTTCATAACATTATTCAAATCATTCTGAAGATAAACTTTGATGAAAAGAATGGTTACCTCATTAGACACATCCACAACTAAGTTGTCATCGCTTTTGTCACCATCACTGTCCTGGAAGAAAGAAACATTAACGCCATTTACTAAAAGCTAAGAATGGGTTTGGGGCACAGTTAGATTTCTTTCTATAGTTCTTGGTAGCAGACAGACAAAAAAAACTACCTGGGACAGGCCTGCAGGCTCTCTATCAGTTTGCCAGCCCTAGTAATTATTATCATCTTCTCCCTCTTCTCATCTGACCTGGGGCTATGCAAAGCTTCAGGCAGGAATTCTGTAGCAGTAGCAAACCAACTATCCAATCACAACTTGTTTACAGGTGATGGCAAGTTGCAAATACTTGGCAGGTTGTAAGTGCTCAGTAAACGGTTGCAACAGCTGAATTTCTCTTGAGGGCTGAAATCTCTAATTTGAAATATGCATACCCTTATATCGAAGTCTTTCCATATGATTTCAAGGTAAAGCATTTTCCCATGGGATTACTAGTTAATGCAAAAACAAAACAAAACAAAACAAAACGAATCCAGCAAAGCTAGCCGGTGGATGGAATAAGCAAACAAAACCCAATCTTTTTCTCTTAAGTAACAAAAAAGTAAATTAAAAATTAACCTTTTTTGCAATCAGCTTGAAGTATTTTTGGAAAGATAATAGATGGCAATATTTGAAAGGCACTGGCATTCTGCAGTAAGGCTCTCATTGTCCCTTCATAAAGCTACAGTATTTACTAATCAGAGGAAACTCCAAGGTAGCACTGGGTTGGAAAATATTCGGAAAAGCTGTTCAGCCGGGCACGGTGGCTCACGCCTGTAATCCCAGCACTTTGGGAGGCCAACGCGGGCAGGCAGACCACTTGAGGCCAGGAGTTCAAGACCAGCCTGGCCAACATGGTGAAACCCTGTCTCTACTAAAAATACAAAAATTAGCCGGGCGTGGTGGCGCATGCCTGCAGTCACAGCTATTCAGACGGCTGAGGCACAAGAATCGTTTGAACCCAGGAGGTGTAGGTTTCAGTGAGCTGAGATCATGCCACTGCACTCTGGCCTGGCCGACAAAGCAAGACCCTGTCTCAAAAAAATAAATAAAATAAAGCCTGTTCAATTTAATGATGTGGGCCGGACGCAGTGGTTCATGCCTATAATCCCAGCACTTTGGGAGGCTGAGGCGGGTGGATCACGAGGTCAGGAGCTTGAGACCAGCCTGACCAACATGGTGAAACCCCGTCTCTACTAAAAACACAAAAATTAGCTGGGTGTAGTGGTGTGCACCTGTAATCTCAGCTACTCAGGAGACTGAAGCAGGAGAAATCGCTTGAACCTGGGAGACGGAGGTTGCAGTGAGCCGAGACTGTGCCACTGTACTCCAGCCTGGGTGACAAGAGCAAGACTCCATCTCAAAAAAAAAAAAAAACAACAAAAAACAAAAAAACAATTCAATGATGCGATCACCCCCTCCATCAAGTTTGAGGCAGGCTGAAAAAGTCTACTCTCTTAGCCAAAATGTCTCATGTCCTTTAGGGCAGAGTAATACATTATACAATGTAGGTATATGGAAAAAGCAGGACATCTCAATGGGTTTGAATTCTTGGAAAGGAAGAGGTCCCGAATTTATGATCTAAACAATGCTTGTACTGATACTGTTGTCAATGAAGAATATAGAAATAATATCTGAAAAGTTATTAGTACAAACAAGTGCAAATATTATCCACATTGGCCTTCTGAAGTAAGCCCACAAATCTAGGCTAGAAAGTTTACCCTCAACTCTAAATTCAAGTCTTACATGATTTGTTTCCTAATCATACACAGAGCACTACATGTGGGAGACCCAATTTATTTTCTTCAATAGTGTGTTACAAGATATATTTTAGCCGTGGTTACAGGGCACCATGCAATTCACCAGTAACAATTCAAATTACAACCATTGAGGAAGCCTGGGTAATCCTAAATAACAGTCTACTGAAATAAATATTTTCATACAATAAAGAACAAAACTAACACTAACGAAAATCCGTTTTCTCTTGGTAAAGCCCACAGCAAAGCACAGATGTTTCCAGGTATTAAGGGTGGTGGTGGTGGAAAAATATAAACTAAAAGAGTTTATCTTCTACAAAGAAAATTATAAAAATGGCTAAGTTAGTACACACACGGAACGAGCACAAATAGCGAACAATTCCTTTATTACAATGGAACTCTGAAGTGAGTTTACTGTAATTTAAATCTTAGCTTTGTACTGGACCCTTCTGCAAAGGGTACTGCAAAGGACAGTACATGTCTGTCATCGGTGATCTAAGTTCTGAGGCCTTTGTCCCAGACTCTCCAACATACTCTCCACACACGGTCCCTAACCATCTATCCAACCAGACAAACCTAGTACACGCAGGTTACAAAACTACCATGCCAAGCTTTATGGATTCTAGAGCACTCATTACTAAATAACTTACACTATACACAACAGCCTCATGAAGGGCAATTCAGAATTCTACATCGGCAAATATCTGCATGTCATAAACCTTCCAACTTGCTTCGTAACATCAGAATTCTACCTCAGCAAATATCTGCATGTCATAAACCTTCCAACTTGCTTAGTAACGCTGAATGTCACAATGAAAGTACATGCATGGGACATCGGCTTTGGGCAACAGACAAGGGGAGAATGATATGTGCTAAAAAGTGTTGGGTTAGGCTGGGGAGAACCAACCGCTTTGTTTCTTAGTATGTTATTAAAGCATGGTGCAAAGTGCGAACCAAATAGAGGATCTCTGGTAAAATAATCGAATACTGGAGCTGGGTTTGGGCATCTTAGCATAGTGTCAAAGAGCAGAGATACTAGAGCTGGCTCCAGGAAATCACTGGGATGTTATAAGAGTTAAATGAAATAATCCATGTAAAAATCACAAGGTACCTGGCACCAACTCCGGGTGGTGCTCAAAAAGATGTTACCTATCGTCAGCTATAGGCTTGGGCAAGCCAGCAGCAGACACTATCATCTGTCTAGTGTTTAGAACTCCACATAGCCTGCACAGTTGACGCCTCTTCCTCCAAGGGCATCAGGGACGTAGCCCCAATTCAGCAACTCTGCTTTCATACTGTTCCTGAGAATGCATCCATCCTGAAACAGACACTCAGGGACACACAGGCAACTCCAAGTCATACATCGGGTGCAATGTTTGTAACCCTGAGACCAGAGCCAATGGCCATCTGGCTTGGTTTGGTTTCCTTTTGAATGTGGTTTTAGCTGGATCTGTGACAAGAGTCCCCACTCCATCAACCAGTAAAGTGATCTCATCTACAGAATTTAAACAAGATGCCTCTGGGGTTTCTTCCATTTTCACCATGAACTTAGTTCACTAGAACGCTCACTGTGGAAAACGCTGAGCTCTGTCTTGAGAAGTAGTATGAGCCTGTATCATCAGAACAGCATCCACAAAGCTTCTGTGACACTATAATTTTTACTCTATTTTAGCAGGAGTGGCTACTAAATTCACAGAGTCCAGGACAAAATGAAAAATGCAGAGACCTTATTCAAAAATTGAGAATGCAAAGATAGTGAGATCTGAGCATTACACCAAGAGAGGGCAGGGGCTGGGGGGACTCCTAATAACAGCAGGGCCCTGAGCAACCACAGCGCACAAAGCCAGCCCTGCATTTTCATATTCCCTTTTGAGTAACAAAGGCAGGAAGTCCAAAGCGTAACACTGAGCCCGGCAGAAGCATAATTTACTGCCCCAAAGGGAAATAATATCCTACAATGTAAGAACCTCTCCTCTTTATGTTATTATTTTTAAGGACATGGAATTATCACTAAGATCTTAAGAGTATACTTGGATACTCACTTAGGTGAGCAGTAAGCAAACAAATACTATTTCAAGTCCTTTAATTACTTACATAGTGGCTGGAGTCCTTATCATCCACCTTCCTTTTCTTGATGTCATTGGAAAATTCAGGCCCATTTCTGCGTTTATCTGTGCCTCTCAGACTGTCTGGGACCAGAAGGGAATTACTCTGCAAGACAAAAAAATTAATCAAAGATTTCTTCCCAAGCCTCTTTGTACACATGAAAACCCAACCTCAATGTGAGAACTATTTTTGAAAGGTGATACCTACACAGCCTTTCATTCCATTTAATTCATCTCATCTAAAGACTCTGATGGCAAACGTATCTACAGGTTTACACACTTAAAAAGGAGACCCTGACTTTGCAATTAAACCATCCAAAGCTAGGTGGATTCTTCAGGCCTCCTTGGAAATGTGCTTCTGTTCTATTTACTGTTGGAGACATAGGAGCTTACTGTGTTGTATGTGGATGTGTTTTTATTCTTTCCCACTGCGACTTCCTGGTCAGGAATGCGAATGGCCTATGCGCAAATCTTGAGATTACTCTATTAGACATATTCTTTAACTGTAAGAGTCAATGTGTACCACTCTAAAAAGGCACAAAGGAAGCGGTGGGATTAACAGCATGGTTTCCTAAAAGGCAAATCACATTTTCCACAGCAACAATGAAGGAACTCTTTTGAATTCTTTTAATTTATTGTTGAAAATAAGACTTGGTGTTCCTCGCCAATAGCGCTGAAATTTAAGACCCAAGGGGGGAATTTCGGCCAGTGAATCTTCAATAGCAAGGCCAGCTCCCACACACAAAAGCAGGAACAAGGACTAATCTTTTCCACAAACCACACAGGATACTTTCATTCGCATATGCTGAGTAGGAACTGTTGACCCAAAGAAAACAGGCATTTTAGATATTTTGGGGTCACATGACATGATCTGACATCTCTTCAATTCCCATCTCCCCTCGGGCTAAAGCATCAGAACATGTTACAATGAGTTCTTTTAAGTGTGGGATTAGCATATGCAAGGGGGCAATTTGTTCAGTGATGTGTTACTGCCCTGAACAATGTTGAATGAGCTGTGCAAAAACCTCCTTTCACAAAGCCCAGATAACCCCAATCTCTGAAAGATGTTTGAGAACTAAGAGGGCGGTGTCCAGGGCCAACAGACAATTATGTTACCTTTCTCTGCCACAATTTAAAACAGAAGGGGCTGGGGGATGCCTTTAAGTTAGACCACATCTAATCGACAGTATACAACAGGAGCAAATACTTTATGGTACCTTTTTAAAAGCCGTGAGTTTCATTCCTAACCAGCCAGAGGTAATCAGCCAGGTGGCCAGCCCTCAAAGCTCCCCCGGAAAACCATGGACCCCACCATGGGAGGGTTGTTCCCAGCTCAACCATATGCAGGAGGAAATCAAAACTGGGGACCAGAAGGCAATCCCAAGCCTCTTGGCCCTCCTCAGGGACCGACTCTAAAGGAGCTGGGCTCTTTTATTCATGACTGTTCAAGCTACACAAATGCCAGGAGGCTTAGATAAAAGCAGCTGGGAGGGACCAATGCAATTCAATATAGAGAAGCTCAAAGTAATGTCTTTACCACAGTGTTTGGGGCTGAAAGGTGAGCCGGCTGGATCCCTGAACTAATTACCTAGATAAATGTCCGCTAAAAACTAACCCCTCCAACCCAGACCCACAGCTGACAAGGCTGCAGGAGACCTAACTCTTGCAAAGTGCTAACACGCCCTCTGAAAAGCTGGGCCGGAGCAGCAGCTGCTTGTGCACACATGGGAAACATGTTTAAATACACCTCTCTCTTCTAGTTTATTTCAGCCCCGAGGTCTCCTCCTCCAGACCCTGAGCAGCATCCAGGGCAGGGCTATGTCTTATTCAACTTTCAATCGGCCCAAGTGCCCAGCAAAATGGGGCATAGAGTCAGTGTGTGCTGACCAGTCTCTCCACAGTCTTCCAAGCTCTCCTGCTGTCATCAGCACTGCATGTCCAAGCCACAGGGCCATTCCAAGACAGCTTCTTAATGTCTTTTTTTTTTTTTTTTAACGATGTCAAGTGGTACTGTGAACGTAAAAGTAAACTACACTTCTGTTAGAAACAATACAATTTCTGTTAGAAACAATAACCTTTCTATGACTGGACGTTTGAGACTGTCAAGCTTTGAGGCCTCTGCATCTATGTGTTCAAAGTTACTACTGTAATTTCCGCTTGAGCAGCTTAAATGAAGCTTATAGTCTGAATAGGTTTTGAAAAGCTCTGAAAGTTCCTCCAAATGTGGTGGACAGGGCTAGTAATTAGCAGCACTGCTTATCTGAAATGGACCCCATTCAACAGCAGACTTCAACAAGTTACAAAACAAGATGCCTCATCATACCTTTGATGCTGTAAAATTGACTCAAAACAAGGCAGCAGAGTGTGGGCTGGAAAGGCACAGGAAAACCGCACTCAGACCCAGGGATCCCTGGCCCATGCAGCTGCCGGACGCCCCGCCGGCTTTCTACCTAAAGACTACCCCACCAAAAAGAGACCGCTTCCTTTCACTCTTGTTCCCGTGAACCCAGCTTTCTGTGTATAACTGCCCCTTCCAGCCCTGATGCTGCTTTCATTGTTGTTCTTGATATGAGCAAATAGTTCCAGCCTAATGAGCTTCACTGGCAGCAACAGCAACCATTCTGGTTTTTAAACTACCGCCTGGGGGACCCTTACCTTCATGATTCCCTCACTTGTTCCCAGAAACCCAAAAGTGACTTGGTGGGTACTGCATTTCTTGAGGTATTTTTCCCTCATGCTGTGATTTCTCCTTGTGCACGCCCTACTGTGTGTTGCTTATGGCTCCAGGGTAGAACACAGTCATTTTGATGGCCATTAAGAGCCACTTTATACATATTTTGAGAATTCAGAGATTAAACCTGGGTATTGACTAAATTGTCATTTTGATCCTCCAAAATTTCGAATGCTATGTTGTCTGGGTCCACATCTAACAAATCGAGGCAACATTTATGAGGATACCATTTGCAAAAGAATGAAACAGAGGTTGCTTTGCATTAAGCTATTTAAAAATGGTTATGAGGCCAGGTGCGGTGGCTCATGCCTGTAATCCCAGCACTTTGGGACGCCAAGGTGGGCAGATTGCCTGAGGACAGGAGTTCGAGACCAGCCTGGCCAACATGGTGAAACCTCATCTGTACTAAAAAAAAAAAAAAAAAAAAAAAAAAAAATTAGCCGGGTGTGGTAGCACACACCTGTAATCCCAGCTACTTAGGAGGCTGCGGCATAAAAATCGCTTGAACCCAGGAGGTGGAGGTTGCAATGAGCAGAGATTGTGCCACTGCACTCCAGCCTGGGTGACAGAGTGAGACTCTACCTCAAAAAAATAATAAAATGAAAAATAAAAAAAAAAAATAGTCATGCATTCTAAACACAGAAAATAATTAGAAACAAACCTGAGAAGAGGCTAAAGCAACTGTCGACACATTTTGTTCCTCCTTCTCCTCCTTCTGCTCCTTTAATCTGGAGGACTAAGATGTCCCAAGACAGAGGTGATTTGCCTGGGGCCAAGTGGCTTTGTCCACCACCTGCTGATTCCTATTACAGTCAAAGTGCCTCCTCTCTCAGAAGAGTGATTTTTAAACTCAAGTTTATATACATGCAACACTTGTACCCAAAAACTTATTGGAAATTCAGCCTGGCTCTTTAAACTACTGCACTTAACATTCTAATGTGACATAATACCTGACGCATGGTTTCTCTGACCCACCTCCTAACCAACAGAATGCCTTGCTTTAATCAGGTTAGATGCCTTCCATACCAAAAATAGAAACGTGTAATTTTTAAATGAACATTTTAAAGTCTACTTTAAAATGAACTAGGAATAGTCCCAAATTCCTGCCGTGCCACTCAAAACCCAAAATTAACACTGAAAAAGGCCTCAGCAGAGAGTGATAAAGCAGCCCAGGTACACACAGGCTTCATGGGATGCCAATCACCGCAGGTAATCATCCTACAGACCTATTTGCCACTGTAGACACCTCTTCCTAAGTCTATATTTTGAAAGATTTTAATCTACCAAACAGGATTCATCAAGTAGAATTCATTTTTCAAATATTTATTTGCCAAATAAATATTTAATTGAGAATCAGCTTTTTGATCAACATGAGAACCAGTGTTACCATACTGACTGATATACTCTAATTCCAGCCAAGAAACCCAATGCTTTATTTCACCTTGCGGCTGGTAAAATTTAAATATCTGCCAGGATTTTTTAAAGACCGTAAATGTTGGGCAGACTTCTATTACAAGTGTCCCAAGGACTGAGGTTTCTAGACTGTATGTAAGTTTTCCTTTATTTAAAAAAATTTTTTAAGAAATAAACAAAATCACCTTATTTATGTCTTCTACAGAAACTCAAAATAGGAGTTATACAGCCCACGGAGGACATGACAAACCTGGGCAAATCAGTTGAAAACATACTGTTCAAAACAAACTAAAATTCTAAAACCAAATAATTTTCTGCACCTACGTGTGGCACACACTTACGGGTACAGGGTCAAGTAAAACATAAAGGGAGAAGCATATCTGAGAAGTCTAAAAGAAAAGATCCTCCTAGAATGCTCAGTATCAGATACATAAAGAGGGTTCAAAAATGGGCAGAACTGGCATAACTTTTATATAGAAAGTACATGAGATGATTAGATGAGGTGCAAGAACAGAGAAACCATATACTCCACAAGAAGGGACTCTCTCTCTCTCTCTCACAAAAATCTGGAATTCTGTGAGAATGCCAAATCTCAGAGGGCATCTTCACTGGCAACAAGCAAATTACTACTTATTAATATATGCTTCCTAAGGGTTACATCTAACTTGCACTAATAGGATGACAGAATAGAACGGCTATGACAGCAAAAGAGCTGGTCAGAAGAAATGAGGAATGGCAGATCTTCCGATATTACAGCTTGTGTGCATTCTGAGACAAATTCTGAGCACAATTTCCTAACTGTGGGAACCATGTTTTATTAAACACACACCAGGATCTTTCCCTGCGGTAGCTCCATGGCCTCAGGGTAACTAGATAATTGGCAAAGTGTTTGAATTTCCTGGATGCGAGAGGCCAACATATTCTTTTAAAATAAAGCAAAAATAAACATTCCAACACAATTA